ATGGTCTGAAGGATGTGAAATAATTTTCTTAAATTCTTGTGGCTAATGACTTATGGAGTTGGAATTTGATTCTAAATCTGTTTGTCCCCGAATCTTGCTCTCAGCTATTACAGTTGGCTTTTTTGGGGACATTTCTGTTGGTCAATTTTCTTCTCCTATTTTCTAATTGTGGGGATTTATGGAAAGATTTAGTTCTTAACCCTTGACTATTATATCTTTAAATATTTCTGCTTATGACAATTCATCATTCTTCGATGATCATTTGTACATCTGTATTCAGCTGATTCTCCAGTTCGTATTTTGATTCCTGTACTTCCTTCCTTTAATTCCTCATTGCCAGTTATTTTTTTAACTTAAAATTTCCTTATGAATGTTTTTTGGAAGCATTTCACTATCTCAACTAAATACAGCTACTTATCGTCCCCACTTTTTGTTCATTCATTTCTGCCATTCTACTCACAGTTCCCAGCCTCAGAATTTTAGTAAGATTTGATTTGACTCACTGTTCTTCTCTCAAACCATAGAGATATTAAATCTTCTTTTTCTCAGGATGTTATCTCTTGATACTGTTCTAAATTTACTATTTCCTCTGCTTATGAAATCTTAATGGATCTGCCATCGTATATCATGGAAGTCTAAAATATCCTATTAATTTAAGGTCTAGATTTGAATAATAGTGATAATATAATAATTTTTGTGCCTTCTGTGTTATATGTTCCATGTACTAGAAACTGTATCGTGTGTGATTATTACCTGCATTTTAAGATAAGTGATTCAAAGTGGCCGAACACAATTTCCAATATCCCTCAACTAGTAAGTGGGTAGAGCCAATAATCCTAGTTGTTTCATTGATCTCAAAGTTTATACTCTGAATACATACAGAGAGCATATAGTTTATCATTTAACTTGGATATATTTCACCGTGAAAAGTGTTGCTACTAATAATTCTTCTAGGATAGTAGATGTAAAATGGGAACATTCCAAGCAAACCAGGACTTCTAATATCACATTAATCCTACTTCCTACTTTTTCTCCAATAAAAATGGGAATGTCAGACTGACATCTGTTTTAGAGATAAAGAAGATGTGTCAATCTTTGTATTTGTGGAGTTCAAGGTGACAAAAGGGCATCCTATTGGAACATTTTAGTAGAGATGTTATTAACAGGTAATTAACAGAAAGATAAAATAACTTTAGGAGCTAACAATGTAGAGAATGTTTTTAAAGTCATAAGCTGAGGTCACCAAACCTATAAGAAAGAACCGGTACAGATGATTGAGAACTGGCCACTGGAAATTTCGAAATAAAAAAGATGTGTGAAGAGATAGACTAGGAGATGCTTCTATTGGACTTTAAACCTTTAGAAAACCCTTTAGAAAATCAACCATTTGTTTGAATTCCACTTACTTAGCATTTTAATATGCCAAATACACATATTAAAAACCAATTTAACATTAAGTATAGGGCAAACCATATAACTTCTGGTGGATGAATTTAATTATATGCCCATCATTGGGGCCTAACTGAAGTCATTTCAAATGAAGACATTTCAGTTGTTCTTTTGTCTCTAGAAAGACTGTCTTGCTATTTTTGTTGAAATGGTAGCATATTCTTGGATTTTTCTTGTGCAGGGTGAAGGATACTGTCTTCCCCACCACTTGTGTGCAGTTTAAGGTGCTACCAGACATTTGAGGGGAATGGATGTGCCATATGTACAAAGACACTGGTACTGTATGTTCTGCGCGAGAATGGTATAATCCACATTTCACATATATTTTAATGTTAGCAATAAATAGAACAAGGAAGCCATTATACGGACATTCAAGTTTTAGAAAAAGGGACAGTTTTGCATCAGAAGTAACTTAATCAAGAATATTTCTTTCTATGCTTCTCTCTGCTTCTATTGGAGCAAGTCAAGAGCGAAAATGATTTAGACAAGACCTGGTTCATCTGAAATAAAAGCCCTGATGCATTCAAAATGAAGTTCCCATGGAAACCATCTCTGAAGTGACAGAAACCTCAGAAGAACTTTCTCTGGCGTTGCATCATGCATACAGGAACTCTAAAGCTCCTAGAGCAGTGGTTCTCAACTCCCTAATGCCGTGACCCTTTAATACAGTTCCTCGTGTTGTGGTGACCCCCAACCATAAAATTATTTTCATTGCTACTTCATAACTGTAATTTTGCTATTGTTATGAATTGTAATGTAAATATCTGATATGCAGGAGACTTCCAAAGGGGTCACGACCCACAGGTTGAGAACCACTGTGCTAGAGAAAAGTGAACATTTAATGAACCCCTAAGGTCCTCTTTGCCCTTGGGTCTCAAGAAAAGCTTGCCCTGTAGGGCTTATCTTAATTTTTTGATAGTGGACTATTTTTCTCTAATTCTTTAAATGTGTGTACTGAGATTTCGAACAGGGCTTGGGATTCATTAGAATAATTATTCAGGGATGTGGACATTTATTAGGTGTAAATTGACCCCCGGGGCATGGTCATTGCTGAGACTTAGCTGAGGTGAGCAAGCCCTCATCAGTGCACTGCTTGTCCTCATAGACACCCACACTGCAGTGGGCTTGTCTGGAAGAAGATGGACTTTTGCCTTTGTGTTGGGATTTCATCAATTCTCCGAAAGCCCTGAACTTTGACCCCAAACACATACAACTAATCTGCTAAATGCAGCTCAGATTTCCCCAAACAGAGATTTATTTCTTGGCTATGAAATGTTATATTTAATATCTAAAAGTCACTGCTAAGGAGTAGGGAATGCAAGTTGCTACATGAAGCTTCATGGATTGTTATCTCCATGTCCGTCAATAACTGACATTACATAATTTGAAGATTTAGATTCCAAATCCTCTGCAAGGCCTTCTCCTCTCTCCTGTGCTGTGGTTAGAACTTTCTCCCTTGAGAGCCCATAATTTGGCTTAAGGTATTGCATTTAAAGCACAAGGTGAAAACATGACCCCTTGGAAGGGGCTGCATTTAGCCATGAACGCCCAGTGTTTCAGGAGAGTAACTGATCTTATCAAGCAAATGTATTTACAGTTTCTTCTGAGTACTGCTCAAATGTCAGATTACTCTATTTAAAATCAAAATCTGGGCCCCTGACTTTTCTACCCCTCTCCCTTAGTTTCCTTCATAGCGCTTTTCACCTTACGTGTTTTCCTTCTTTCTTTGATGTAGTTTCTGCTTTTTCTGACTTGAATGAAAACTCTGTGTGAGCAGGAATTTGTTTTTGTTGTTTTGGTCTTTTCCCCACTGAATAATAACCAGAACTTGAGAGTTTCTGGGGGCATAGTAGATACGAAATATGTATTTGCCAAAGGAATGCCATTCTCATTCACATCTTTCTTCACTTCCCCATTATCTGACATATTGACTGTAGGATCTGTTCCCTGACCTTTAAATCTTTTTTTTTTTTTGAAACAGAGTCTCACTATGTGGCCCTCAGCAGAGTGCTGTGACATCACAGCTCACAACAACCTCAATCCCTTGGGCTTAAGTGATTCCCTTGCCTCAGCCTCCCAAGTAGCTGGGACTACAGGTGCCGGCCGCAATGCCTGGCTATTTTTTTGTTGCAGTTGTCACTGTTATTTAGCTGGCCTGGGGAGGGTTCAAACCCGTAACCACTGTGGTACGGGCCCCGAGCTGAAATCTTAATAAAAGTTGATATTAGTAATCTGAAAAATATTTTGTTTTAAACTACATGAACAGGTAGTGGAGGAAAAGCAGATAATGCTTTTTTATTTTTGACCATGGAAAATTTCAAATGTTTTTTGGTATGTATTAGATGTGAGTGAAATAATGAATCTCCTCTGAAGCTCAATTCTCCCTAATTTGACCTTTCCCAGCTCTAGTAGTTTCTACCATCCTTTAAAATTCCTTATTTTTATCAATAGCAAGAGTCTCATGAGATTCTTATAAGTAAAAGGAGCAAAAGTAAAAGTAAAAAGCTTCGGAAAATTCATTATCCTCACAAGGAAGTCATGTAGCCAGGGATTAAGACCATGGTTACTGAAGCTGGACAGACCAAGGTTTAACTCGAGATTCTGGAATCTATTAGCTGGGCATGTGCCTCACTTTTAAAGTGGAGATTAACAGGGATAACTTACAGGGGCTGTTGTAAATAATAAATGGGTGCTTTTTACATTGCCGTTGGGTCCTTGGTGTCCCCATAAGGGTGCTGAGTCAGACACTGATACATAATAAGTGTAGCAAAATTATGTTTTCCCACAGTGCTTTGCTCTTAATCATGCTTTAAAAAGGATGTAACCAGGATGAAGGAATAGGTCATTAAAAGCCACGTGAAGCATTATCCTTAGGGAAGGATGGTCTCTGGGCAATGGCCCTATGGGAGCCTCTGTAACTAGCTCACTGAGGTCTCTAATCTGGAATAAAACCCTTTCATCTCCTGTTATCTATGGAGTTAGGAAAGGAAGCTGTCTCATGCCTGGAAGCTGAACAGGGGCCTCAGGTGGATCTACAAATAGAGATTGCCTTCTCCAGCTCAGCCAGAGAAGCAAGATAAAATAGACATTTTGATTTTCAAGGTAGAGAAGAAGGAGAGGGGTCCCAGCTTCGTGTTGTCACCTGTTCAGCAGGGCGGTGAAAGAGATGGATGAGAGGCAGTAGAGATGGCACTGTGGCTCCAAGCAGGAGAGGGTGAGTCTCTGCCTGTCCTTCTGGGGGCTGCAGCAGAGTGGCTAAAAGCTCAAACCAGGGGAGCCAGCCAGGCTGAATCCACCTGCTGCTGCAACTCAGTAGCTTTGGGACTTTGTGTAAGTAGCTTAGCCCGGTGTCCTCAACTGTGGACTGGGGTAGTCGTAATGCCCCAAGGCATTGAGAATAATTCTTATCCCCTAGTTAGTACTCAGAAAATGCTTTTTTTTTTTTTCTTTTCTTCTTCCCACACCCTTAACATATATTGACTTTCATGGTCTCTCTCTCTTTCTCTCTCAGTGACTTTCTCTTTTTCTTTTGTAGACTCTCTTAAAAGAGAATGGCTGCTGAGAACTCCTCTTCTGTGACAGAGTTTATTCTCTCAGGCTTAACTGACCAGCCGGGACTCCAGCTGCCCCTCTTCTTCCTGTTCCTAGGTTTCTATGTGGTCACGGTGGTGGGGAACCTGGGCCTGATAACCCTGATTGGGCTGAACTCTCACCTGCACATTCCCATGTACTTCTTCCTCTTCAACTTGTCCTTCATTGATTTTAGTTATTCCACTACTCTCACCCCTAAAATGCTGATGAGTTTTGTGTCAAAGAAGAACATCATTTCCTATGTGGGGTGTATGACTCAGTTTTTTTCCTTCTGTTTCTTTGTCTTTTCTGAATCCTACATCCTGTCGGCCATGGCCTACGACCGCTATGTCGCCATCTGTAAACCACTGCTGTACACGGTCACCATGTCTCCCCGGGTGTGTTTGGTCCTTCTGTCCGGTGTCTACGGGATGGGGGTCTTTGGGGCTGTGGCCCATATTATAAATGTAACGTTCATGACCTTTTGTGCAGACAACCTTGTCAATCACTACATGTGTGACATCATTCCCCTCCTTGAGCTGTCCTGCAACAGCTCTTATACAAATTTGCTGGTGGTGTTTATTATTGTGACCATTGGAATCGGAGTGCCTATTGTGACCATTTTTATCTCATACGGTTTCATTCTTTCCAGCATTCTCCACATCAGCTCCACAGAGGGCAGGTCCAAAGCCTTCAGTACCTGTAGCTCCCATATAATTGTGGTATCTCTTTTCTTTGGGTCAGGAGCTTTTATGTACCTCAAACCACCTTCTATTTTACCCCTGGACCAGGGGAAAGTGTCCTCCGTTTTCTATACTGCTGTGGTGCCCATGGTCAACCCCTTAATCTATAGCCTGAGGAATAAAGATGTCAAAATTGCCCTGAAGAAAACTTTAAGAAGAAAAATCTTATCTTGAAAAATGACTGCGAAGGGGATCGCAGTGTTAATCGGAGTGCTTCTTTTATAAGTTTTTCACCCAGAGAAATGCAAGTTCTTTCTCCCCTATGCTAGAGGAAAATTTTAACGCTTGTTCCTAAGCACACTTATTTTCTCCACCCCTCACCCGCCCCGTCTATTCTAATCATTATTTCATGAAAATAGTTTCTGTAATTATAGTAGGTTTAATCTTGGATAGGCCTACAAAATCCCTTAATCCAGCCTCCTTCTACGACACCTCACACACTGGAGACTCATAAATATTTAGTAGGCTGTACACGGACACACACGTACCTAGTGCCAGAGCTGGAACTGGAATCCAGCTTCTTGAATTTTAATCTACTGTGTTCTGCTTTTCTTTAGCCATGCTTTCTTGTTTCATTTTTTTCCCTTGGCTGATTTCATTTTAAACTGTATTTATTTATTCATTTTTTTTGAGGTAAATAAATCTAATTCTAGTCACAGTGGTGTCATGCAACTTTTCAAGGGTCAATTTTTGGAATATCATTTTTTGCAAGGGTGTTGGAAGTGAAACATTTGATATTGATAGAAAGATAAGAGAAGCATATTAAATATCTGGGGGTTGTATAAGTGAGAACTGCTGGGTTCATTGCACAATCAAGCATGGTGCCCATTAAGATGGTATGCAGAGCTTCTAAGAGAAAGATATACAACTTCAGGGGAGTTAGAGATATTGAATACAGGTTTCACTCTTTATTTACAGACTAAAGGAGATACAATTGATACCCTTATTTCAGGGGTCTGAATTATGTAAATGTAAATTAGTAATAGATAACTTTGAATGCCAAGGAGCTGTAGCAACTAGTTATCAGGAGTGGCAATTGACATTATATCTTAGGCACTGGATATTTCTGTGCTCTTCTAAGCGTAGGGCATAAGGAAAAGGGGTAGTGGTCTCTTTCTTTCTTTCTTCTATAGAAAGAATCAGAAGAACCATTTTTTTTCATCTGAACATGTCATTAGTGGTAACAGTTCTTTCAGACACAATGGCATGTGAAATATTTGGATGATACTTCAACTTATGAACTTTTCTCAGGAAAGTTCTATTCAAAAAAAGGACAGTTTGGATAAGTGTTTAGTTTTTTTGGTAATGTTTCTGTTCAATTGGAATGTAATAAAAGCAATGACAGTATAGGGTAGGCTTGTTCTTTTGATAATGTAACAGGGGGAGTATCACTGAATTCAGGACACGTGGGGATGGTGAAGAATCAGTACAATGTAAATATCCACCCTTATTCTTACTTTTATCATGACAGATTCATTTTGCTCACCTTGAACTTCACATGAATGTTAAATAGTGCATTTACTTTTTAATATCTGGCTTCTTTTTTAAAAATTTGTTTAAAATTAACCCTAACCCTTAAATCATAGCTGTGTACATTAATGCAGTCATAGGGTACAGTGTGCTGGTTTTATATATAATCTGAAATACTTTCATCAAACTGATTAACATAGCCTTCATGGCATCCTCTTAGTTATTGTGTTAAGACATTTATAGTCTACATTTAGAAAGATTCACATGTACCCTTGTAAGATGAACCATAGGTGTGGTCCCACCAATCACCTTCCCTCCACCCATCCTCCCCCTTCCCCTCCTCTCCTTCTCCCACTTAATATAGAATGTCTGGTGAGAGTCATCCACAACATCGTTCTTGATTATTGCTGTTTACTATTCTGTTGTGTGAATATAGACGAATTTACTTATCAGTCATCTTTTTAGCAGAAAGTTAACTTGTTTTCAGGTTCTGTATATTATTAATAAAGCTGCTGTAAACATTCTTGAACATGTATTTTTATTTAAAATGCTCACATTTCTCTTGGATATGTACCTGGATACGGATTTACTGGGTCACAGGGTAGGCATATGTTTAGGCTTCTAAATGCTACCAAATGTCTTCCAAAATATTTAAATTGCTTTGCACGCCTGTCAACCATTTCCAGAAAAGGAAGCTCATCCTTCTGAATGCTTGTTATTTTTAGTATTTTTGATTTTAGCTATTCTGTTAGGTATGTTGTACAATATCACCTTACTCTTTTCTTTTTTATATTTTCCTAATAGATAATGATGTGGGGCAATTCTTCTGTGTTCACTAGCTATTTGGATATCACCATGTGTGGAGCACCTCTTCAAGTATTTCTTTTCCCACTTAAAAATAGTGTTAGTCTATCTCTTACTGGTTTGAGTTTTAAGAAGTGTACTCTGAATATGGGTCTTTTTTCCAACATACACATTGCAGTTATCTTTGCTCAGTCTGTGGCCTGCCCACCCACGAGCCTGCTGGTAATGATGTCCTTGGTAACAAACGTTTTAATTTTAATGAAGTTCAGTTTATCAACTTCTTCTTTTAATGTTAGTGCTTTGTCCTGTTTAATTTCTTCCTCCTACATAGTAACAAAGTTATTCTCATGCTTTTTACCAAAAGGATTATGGTTTTCCTTTAGTATTTAGATTTTTTGATTAATTTCAAGTCAGTTGTGTGTGGTGTGAGGTAAATCTTATTTTTTAATGGAGAAATTAAATTGGGTCAGCATCGTTTACTGAAAAGTCTCTCTTCTCTAAATTGTATTGGCGATACTTGTGTGCGTTTACTTGAGGATTGAATGACAATATTATTGTGAGACTTGGAGAAAAGTTGGTGTTGAGCCAAAGTGCTGTGTTCTGCCAGTACAATGGTGAATAACAGTAATGAAAATCAACGTTCTTGTTTTGATGTTGAATTACATTTATTCCTAGGAATTTGATATCTTTCATTCTATTTTCAGTGTATTTTTGAAATTTAATTTTCAATCATTTATTACTAGAATATAAAAAATATAGTTGATTTTTATATGTTGACTTTGTATCCAGAAACTTTGCTAATGTCAGTTAATTCTAACTGTTACTAAAATTGACAAAAGATGAAATAGGAAACTTTATTTGTATTTCTGTATACACAGTGTGTCATCTAAAAAATAAAGGTTTGGTTCTTCCTTAGTGATCATTATACCTTTTAGTTCTTTTATTTTCTTTTTTGCACTGAGACCTCCAATGCAATGGTGAATAGAGATGAGAATAATGGATGTCCTTGTCTTGTTTCGACCTTGGGGTAAAACATTCAGACTTTTACTATTGCATATGATATTTGTTGATGCTTCCCCCCTCTTTTGTAGATGGTAGTAATTAGACTCAGGGGCAGTATGATGAACAACTTCCATTTTAAAAGTAATATTATTTTCCTTGAGAATACATTGCATGGTAAAAAATTAAACACTACCAAAAAGCATATAGTAAAAATAAGTGTTGCTTTCCTTTCTGTTCTCCTTCGTGTATACTCTTCCTCCTAGCTGCAACTATTTCCAGAGATAACAGAGACTTATATACAAGAGTATCTTTATATTATTTCTATGTATTTATCTCTATCTATTTATATATCTAGAGATGCTTTTTGTTTTAAAGTTCTATAAAAGGGCATTAGGGATCATCTTCCAATAGAAACAGCTTAAAGAGGAGAGAACACAGGACATTACTGGGCAAGAAGAAGAATAATCAGAGGTAGAAGAGGCACAGGTGAGGGTGTGAACAAGAAGGAAGAGAGAGTGGAGAGCAGAGACGCCAACAAGCCTTCCATGTAAGATCTTATCTATAAAGGAACAAGGACAAGAATTATATCAGATTTCTATCTAGAGACCATGCAGACAAGAAGAGAGTAGAGTGGCATATTTAAAGTCCTGAAAAAAAACCTCACCAACCTAAGTTTTGTATCCAAAAAAATTATCCTTCAAAAGTAATAGAGCACTAAAGATGTCATCAGCCAAACAAAAGCTGAAAGAATTTATTGCCAGTATATCTGTTCTGCAAGAAATATTATGGGAGTTTTTCCAACATTTTCTTTTAGGAATCCTAGAACATGTTGGAAAAATTCCTATAATATCAGCCTAGCCAAAGAATTCATGAAGAAGATGTGACAGGCAATCTCAGCAACAACAGAAACAAATAAATGGGACCTGATTAAATTAAAAAGCTTCTGCACAGCTAAGGGCACAATCAAAAGAGCAAATAGACAATCCCCAGAAGGAGAGAAAAGATCTGCATGCTATACATCTGACAGAGGACTGATAACCAGAATCTACAAAGAGCTCAAGCAAATCAGCAAGAAGCAATCAAACAACCCTATTAAAAAGTGAGCAAACACATGAACAGAAACTTTTCCAATGAAGATATGCTAATGGCCAACAAATTCATGAAAAAATGCTCGATATCTCCAATCATTAGGGAAATGAAAATCAAAACCATGATGAGTTACCACCTAACTCCAAGGAGAATGGATTGTATTAAAATGTCCCAAACAACAGATGCTGGTATGGATGCAGAGAGAAAGGAACTCTTATACACTATTGGTGGGACTGCAAACTAGTACAGCATGTATGGAAGACTGTACAGTGATACCTCAAAGAACTTACAGTAGACCTACCACTTGATCTGTCAATCCCACTGCTGGGTATTTACCCAAAGGAAAGAAGGTCCTTTTATAAAAACGACACCTGCACTCAAAGGTTTATAGCAGCACAATTTGCAATCATCAAGATATGGAAACAACCCAACTGCCCAACAATACATGAATAAATTAATAATATGTGGTATATGCATTCCTTGGAGTACTACTCAGCTATAACTGCCCCCCAAACAAAATCAGCAATCTAGTTTTGTGATAACCTAGATGGAACTAGAAACCATTGTTCTAAGGGAAACACTGCAAGAATGCAGAAACAAACACATGTACTCAATACTAAATTAGAACTAATTGGTCAACACATAAGTGCACATCTGGAATGAAAATCAAGCTGGGGGGAAAAGGGAAGGGGAGATGGGTATTTTCACACCTACTGGCGTGCACTCTCTGAGTAAAGGGCACACTGATGACAACTTTCAATGTGGATAAAAACCAAGTGTGTATACCAAACATATATGGCCCCAATATT